GGTTTGCTTTAAGGCATGTTCAAGATAACAAACAATGGTCAAGTGTTGTTTTCAATAATGAAAACAAATTAACGTTGATGGTTCCAATTGTTTTAATTACTATTGACATGACTTTTGAAAAAAAAAATGCCACGAAGGCTACATTTGTAGTACCATGAGTAATGGTATGAGCTGCTTTTAATGAAAAAATAAAGTCTCAAATGTCATTCATTTTTGGCAAACTAAATGCTGTTAGTTATCAAAATGTTCTAGAAGTGTTCCTTTTACCGTTTATCACAATGTTGGAACAAGATGAAATCATTTGTGTGATTTCACAGGATTTCAGGATCAATTTTTTGGATTGGCCAGGTCTTAGTCCGGATCTCAATACGATTGTAACTTTGTGGGGAATCATCGCTGGAGAATTATACGACCTTCGGAAGCCAGGAATACAAAATATCGATGAGCTCAAAGAAATGATTGCACGTGGTTAGGAAAACATACGAGAATGCATTTAAATTAATTTATTAAGAAGTGTTCCCGAATGACTGTTAGAGGTGATTAGAAAAATGGTAGAAGTTCTCATTATTCCAATTAATATACTCATTAAAGTATTGATTTTATACTTTTTCACATTTATTTTGTTATGTCATCCCAATTGTAGCTAACGGCAATACGAATAATTGTTTATTCAAATTGTAACTAACTATTTATAATACAAATTAAATACCTAATTGATTACTCAATTCCAAAATAACTGACTTAAACTATTGACATTTTTTTTTCCTTTAGTTTATATTTATTCACAAGACTGTATATATAAGCGTTGAATTTTGCAATTATTGTTTAATGAAAAGTTATTTATTTTTAATAATTTTTTTTTATTATCTCCTTTCTCATCTTTTAGAATTTAAATCTTAGTATTTAAATCAGACCTATACCGCTGTAGTCAGAAATAATAATAATAAGGCTTAGTGAACCCGAAGGTTCGATGCCGATACCATCAATCGATGTCTATATTTTTCCGACCACCGAGCTCCGTCTAAACACAACCTCGCCAGATTAGCCTTAGCGCAATCTTCCTACCTTCGCTTTGGTCTACCCCTCGGACGCTTGCCAATCGGTACGGCGCATATTAACTTTTTAGGAATTCTTTCGATACCGATCCCAGCGATTTCACAAGCCCATTTTTTCCCAAACTTAATTATCTCAATTATATTAAGCGGGCAGAGATCGCTAATTCAGCGTTGTGTAACCGCCTTAATTCTCCGGTTGACTTCTCCTTCTTTATTTTAAAAACTTTAATACGTTACTCATACCTTAATGCAAGTGGCCACGTTTCGTATCCATAAGGAACCATTGTAAGAGTAATGGTTTTGTAAATTCTGATTTTTAAGCTTCGGAACAGGAGCTAAGTACCTGAAAGCAACTGAAAAATAGCAAGCATTACCCTCCTTTAACTTAGATATAACTTCCTCTTCAATTTCGGTTTATTTTGTTATTCTGTTATAGACTATAAATAATTTAGCTTCCCTACCTGTTCAATTGTATTTCCTTAACACTGAAATCGTCGCCGCTGTTGTTGCTACCTATATATTTTGTCCTATCAACATTTATTTCACGTTCCTGTTGTTTAACGGCATTCATTAACGTTTTTGTATTTAGTTTTAAAATTTAAATATCACGAATATTGCTCCACCCAAATTAAAAACTTTTTCGGTAGATTAAAAACTAAATTAAAACTTAATTTAATACATTTTCCATTCATTTATGTTTTATGTTATTTCAGAAATTATCTTAGAATTATAATGTAGATATTAACTGTTATACGTTTATTAAACCTGACCTGAAAAGGCTTCTCTCTTAAATAAAATTCATAGAAAATTGGAATGGAATTCACTATCGAGGACGCAGCTGGTGCTTGCCTAGCAATATTGCCTGAGCAGTCGGCAATGATGAATGAACAGATCGTTTTGAACATATCTATTTGCTGTCGTATTTTTCAATATCAAGCTTCCATGGAAAGAAAGTTGACAATTTTCATTATTAATCCTAGATCAACATTGTTAGAACACAATTCAAAAATTCATTTTCAAAATTTTAACAATTTCGCCAATAAAATTCTAAGACACAGTTAACAAGGCAGTACGTGTCTAATCCAACACTTTAAAGATAAATTAAATTTGAATTCTTGGGAAAAAAATTAAAAAATGATCTTATGATGTAAATATTTGGCCGACATTTCTTTCTTTTCCGCGATCAAGTAGGTACATTATAATAATCTTGATAAAACTTTGATTCTATGGGTTTTCCTCTTAAGGAACTCATTTATGAGCTGTAGGACAGTAATTTGACAGATTTGGTATAAATAAGCGTTGGTTGACCTGGTTTTATGCCTTACCACGTAACCATGTTACTATGTTTATGTACTCCTTCGACGTAAAATTTAACGTTCTGTAATTTCTAAAAAACACATTTTTTGCTCTGAAACAAAATTTTCTTACTATATTTAAATTTTCAAATGTTTTTTTAAGATTGAAAAAAAAAGTATTTGAAATCCACCGAATCAAGCCAATGCCACTGTTTAAAATACTATTTCAATTTAATTGTGTGAAAGAAAAAGTGAAATATAAAAATATTTCTATTTATAAAACTTTTTCAACTAGAAATATCACCAAAATGACATTACTCAAAAATGTTGAAATTAGAGTTAGTCATTCTGTCAACTGAAAGGCTCAGATAATTGTGTAGTTTATAAAAACAGATGGAGTGACTAGATTGTTACTGCCTACCTACAATAAATAGACATTTTGTAATTAGAATGGTCTTATCATTCACACCATATGTACAAAAAAATAAAATAAATAGAACAAAATAATAATCAAAAGTATATACAATAGACATGTCATCCTACCTCACTATAACCAATGTCCAACAGACAGATTGTTATAATACTCAATAAAGAAATTTAAAAAAAGAATGGTCTTAATGATTTGTTTTCATTAATCTTTAAGCTTGAGCTCCGTTTAAAATGCACTTCAAAAATTTTATAATAGCCCAGCATGGCCAGAAAATAATTTCTATTCAAAGTAGAGTGGTATGTGAAAGTTGTGTGTTGCGCGCTCCAGATTTTTGTTATTTAAAAGTTAACGAATTTTGCTTTAAAAAAATCGTTGAAATCGGACAATTTGTAGCAAAGATATTGTGTTCTAAATATGTTTTATATCTTCTACTGCAGTGCTTATATCTTTTGTTTTGTTTTTTATTTTATGAAAGTTTTGCATCAACTGTAGGAAGGTTGCCTGTTTTTAAAGCAAATTATCAATGATAAAAAATAAAATTATAACGGTCAGTGTTAGGAATCTCTTTTTATTTATTTACTTTAATATTAAATGTGAAGTGACCTTAATTCTGATGTTAACTTGTTTAAATAAAATAAACCATTGTGTGCAGCGTTTTTTTTATTTTGGACCAACACGGAGGTTTAAATAGTTCAAGACAAGTATTTTAAAATTTGCATTTAAAAAAAAAGTAATAGAATTAAATAAAACAAACATTCAAACAAAATGGGGGTAAATTGCTACTCATTAAATTATAAACTTGATGGGTCATATATGAGCCTAGTACAGGTATTGTAGACTAAAAGTGATGAAAGGAGCAAAAATTCATTTACATTAAAGCTCCTACTAGGCCTAATGATAGAAGAAATCTAAGAGTAAGGTTACCTAAGCTCTTATTGATGTCTACGGAGCTACATGTACCATACACTACATGTACCCCAGCTGTTTTATTCATATTCAATGGTTTAATGGAGTCGGTCTTGTCGGCTTTGTTGACTGAGTATTATCAATGATTTTTGATATTATCGAAAAATAATTTCTAACTGAACTGTATGAAGTGGTCATTTTTCTGTAATGCTTTAAAAATTCGAACGATCGTTCTATAATCTGACTAAACCATTCACTTATGGCCAAGGTATTTTTTATATCATCATTACTACTTACTATTATATAATTGTACCAAGATCAGATCTTTAGTTCTTGTACAAGAAAATATATCACTTATGTAATGTAGTTTAATTTATTTCATAGTAACTTAGGGAAATTAAAGTTGATTTCCATAATCTATTTTATGGCCTATTTTAAAGTAATGTTAAGAATTTCAAACTAATAGGGTGTATAAAAAAAAAAGTTTATCAAATTCAGGGTTTCAAAATTAAATATGAAGGGCAAGGTGTCCTTTACCAGCGGACTGCGCAGCGTTGGCTTGAAAAATTCATCAGTGGAGATACGACGTTGGAAAGAAAGAAGTTCTGGGCAACTACTAATGGATATTGATGAGGTTCTGCAGGAAGCTGTCGAGCCAAATCCGTCCAAAAGCACTCGCGAACTTGCCAGGAAGTGCGTTGTGACGAAAGATTCTGTAGCCATCTACTCTCCATGGTGAAGGCGAAAAATAGCACTATACTGGTCCTTCACGAACTTACTCCTCAGCAATCAGCTAAGATGAATTTATTGAACAAACCTTCTGATATGAGATTCCTGCCTCATCCACCATGTACTTGTAGTACATACCTCGCACCATCGGACTACTACTTATTTAGATCCATGGTCTATTGTCTACAAGAGAAACAATTTGATAATTTTGTGGAAGTTGAAATTGAGGTCTAATAGTTCTTTGACAGCCATCCCTAAAAATGGTATTAGCGTGGGTTCGAGCAATTGACTATCAGATGGCTAATGCCAGTAGATAACAATGGACTATACTTTGATTATTAATTGTATTTTATACCAAAGAAATGATAATACAAATATTTGTTTGAAAAACAGTCATTTTTTTTATACACCCAATAAAATAAAAAGGAAAAAAACAAAACAATAAAGAAAGTTATTCGAATGTGTAGAAGCAATTTTATCAAAAATCCTTATTTGACTTGTTTCTAATTACCACCATTATATTTATTTCACAATTTATTAATTGCATTACTTTGTACTTAAAAAAAAAAAAAATAGAAGATTTACCCTAAGGTTCGTGACATGGCCTCTAGCTTGCCAGTATGTGCTGGTGTAAGCGTTCAGATTATCATGTCTCATTCGGAATGGGTATATACGAGGCCTGAAATTGATCCATATTATTTTTATTTTATGAAAGTTCGCATTTATTCTAATTATTTACTTAATAGTGAATTGATGGTTGACTGTAGTGAATAATTGAAGAGAAGTTGGTTGGGGTGTTCAGTCAAAATACAAAGTAAAAATAAATAAATGATATTTATTTACACATAAACACCCCAACTAACTTCTCTTCAATTATTTACTTAATTGTTATATATTAATCATACTCTGCGAATCCAATCAAAATTTTGAATTCAATAATCAATTATTCATGAGCAGAAAAAAAGCTTTTCTCTTTGCCACGATCAAGTTCTTTATAGACGGTATCCTCTAAGTAAAGCGAAATATTTTAAGGACGGAGATAGACTTCAAGAGCTAAAAAAATTATGTAAATAATGTTCCTTAATTTATATACAGAGAGTCCCATAAGTAGAGGGAAATATTTATAAGGTCAATAGTAGACATCAATATCTACAAAAAATCCATATTAACGATTGCCCAATTTCTAGCAGAAAAGTAGGATACTTAAGATTTGTGTTTTTTTATGCGATCACGTTTTTTGTTTTAAATAGAATGCGGTAACTTTTTTTTTTGTTTTTGTTTTAAGCTTATTTATTGAAAAATATTACAATCTGTCTCAAGGATATTTATAATAGTTTTCACAGATCACATTCACACTTTATGTACAGTAAATAAAATAAATTATACAGAAAAATAATATATACAATAAATAAGAATATTATAACCTAAAAATAAATTAATAAAAAGAACACATACATACCTATATACAATATTACAATCTGGTAAGAGAACTCCAAACCAGACTTGTCCCTCCGAGTGTGAAGGGAAAAGCATGGCTCCAGGAGATCCCTGCACTTCTCTCTCAACCGCGTCACTGGGGCTAAACCCAGTGGAGATTGAGCAAGAGTGCTTAAGCCTCATACACTCATGTCGTGAGTGGAGAATCTGGCCATTGCCAGAACTCCAATATTTACAAACTATAAAAGGTCGCGGGGCCACTGCCGTTTTAACCTCCTTGTAGGATTATATGGATGGCTAGAGATTGTGCTGGATAGAGATTGTGCAAAGGGATTTGGATGATGGGTAAGGTTCTGGTGGAATTTGGAGAATTTTGATGGGATAAGGTCTAGGACAAATGGAATATTAAGGTCATGGTGTAGGGTTTTGTTGGTTAAATAGAAAGGATCATCTATTGTTCGAAGGACTTTGGATTTGAAGGATTGGATGCGTTTCATGTTAGAAAATTTTGCTGTTCCCCACAGTTCAAGTCTGTAAGTCCAGATAGGTTTCAGTATTGTCTTGTAGATCAGTAACTTGTTTTCAATGGAAATTTTAGATTTTCTGTTTAGTAGCCGGTATAGTTGTCCGTATCGTCGGTTTAGTTCCTGTCTTTTAACTCTAGTATGAGAGTTCCACGTTAGTCGTCTGTCTAAGAGAAAGCCAAGGTACCGGACTGTGTCTGAGAAAGGAAGCTGGATTGAATTAAAGTGTACGGGTGGACAGGAACTGCGTCGGAGCGTGAAGGTGATGTGTTGGCATTTGGATTCGTTTACTTTAATACGCCATTTATTACACCAGTGCTCAAGCAGGGAGAGGTGTCTTTGAAGATTTAAGGATGCTATATCAGGATCTGAGTCGGATGATAGAATGGCGGTGTCACCAGCAAAAGTTGACAGGAAGGTATCGGGATGGACAGGGATATCGGCGGTAAAGAGGATGTAAAGGACGGGACCCTGCCTCAATTGGATAGCAATGCTAAAATTCAGCTTGCTTTCCAATGCTGCGGAAATATGATCAACCACTCGGGGTCCTTGTTGGACTGTAGAGTGTTGTGAACGAAATCCGAACTGATGGGAAGGAAGATTTTGGGATTCTATAAAGAGTAGGATGCGTTTCAGGAGGATGTTTTCAAAGATTTTTGAGAGAATTGGAAGTAGGCTAATTGGTCTATAGGACGTTGAGGTGTTGGGAGGTTTGCCTGGTTTCGGAAACAGGATAATAGTGGAATGTTTCCACAAAAGAGAAAAGTGGGTGGTTCGTAGGATAGAATGCGGTAACTAAAAAAAATATTTTTCTTAAGTAATTATTCATTATTCCATGGTAAAATAGACAAAATTTACTTTAAACGAAATTAGAGTTTCTTATTGTTAAAACCAGTTAAACAGGATTATTGAGCGGGCAAACACAGCTAAGTTCCGTTTAAAAAAAGTCATAAATTATTTGTCATTTGGACACTCGTGAACCGATAGCCGATCTTGAAGAACAAAAACAACTTTCAAAATATGAGAAATTTAATATATCATCCTTTTCATAGATAGTTAGCGACCTAAAAAGTGACCTAGTAAATTTTGAAAGCTCGTTTAAACTCTTACAATAGAGTACGGAAGAGAGAAGTTTGGGCGAGAAGGCCTTCAGTTTTACCAGTTGATAAATAGTTCTAGCATATCTTTATTTATAGATTAAATCAGAGTCTGTGTCCGTTATTTCTTAAGACTGCTTTTGATAATTCAGTTAATTACCTTTCTTTTTCACTAGGTTTCATGTAAAAAATGGCTAAAACAATGCTTTGAAATATATAAATAACGCTTATATGGTCTGGTCAAATACCCTTCCCGGTATACCGCTGCAACATTTTTTTTTTTCCTTTTGTAGCTTTTTTAATATTTTTTAAACTAATATAGGTCAAATTTTGGGCATATTTGCTCTAAGACAGTTTTTTTTAAAAATTATTTCAGAAAACATAAACTAAAGTTTTGGAATACAATTTTTGTAATCTTATTAAAAGTATATGAATTATATAAAACAATTCATACAGGTTTAAAGACAATTTCGCCTTATAAAGATAATTGTAAAACGTTTTTTTTTTTTTTTTTTCATATTTTCCAGACCTGAAAAACAACTACCATTCTTCTCGAGGTTTCGAGGGAACAGGAAGACTGACTAATGTGTTTACGTTGCTTCAAAAAATTAATGAGTGGAAAGTAGAAGATATATAATATAGTAGAGGTGCCCAGAAGGGGTTTGCATGGCGCAAGTTGCGTCAATGAAACTTTTAGGGAGCACATTTATCCGGAGTTATAGATTTTTGAGTGCAAATATTTTCAGAATGTGTAGGCAAGGAAAGAAAAATCGAAGGAAGTAAACAACAAGTGTTAATTTCAGTTAGGAAGGTATTCTGACAACTTCAGTCAGAGAGTATCTTTCCCACAGAAATCGATACTGAGGATGAGTTAATTAATTTGTACACAATATTTTTCTTATATATATATATATATATATATATATATATATATATATATATATATATATATATATATATATAGAGAGAGAGAGAGAGAGAGAGAGAGAGAGAGAAAGAGATATTTACCATAAATTAATATTATATTAAGTATATTAAACCATATAAGTGTTATTTTTTAATTGTTTGTGACGAATAAATGATTTCCAATAAAAAATTATGGGTATTGTACATAACCATTTTTATTATATTTCTAGGAAATATATGTATTTTACTATACATTAATGTTATATTAAGTAATATTAACTTTAAAGAATATTTTTATTAATTTGTGACGAATAAGTGATTTCATCATGATGATTAAATCGAAAATTATGGTCATCATATATAGTAATGTTTTTTTTTTACTATTTTTAAAACAAATTCTGGATTTTTTTTTGTATTTTTGCCATAAATTAATATTATATAAATTTAAAGCATAAAAGTCTTATTTATATTTATTTGTGACAAATACATGATTTCCAGTCGAAAATTAAGGTCAATGAATCTTGCCCTCCTAGGTCATCCAAATGTTTCTGAGGTGGCGGTAGAGTCAGTGTAAGATGTTGCTTTAATACTTACTCCTTTTGCATTATTAATTTCCTTATAGAGAAATAATTAGAGCGATGATAGCAGACATCAAGAGCTACAAAAAGGTTTATATAAATAATGGTCCGATTTTTGGCATGGAAGTAGGAAATTAAGGTTTTCACTTTTTTTTAAGTGTCACTTTTTTTTGTTGATTAGGATAACTGAAAAACTATTTAATTTAAGTAATTTACAATTGCTTCACCGTAAACTAGACGAAATTTACTTGAAATAAAAATAGAGTATGTCATTTAAAAAAAAACATTTAAAGGGGACCTTTAAGCTCATCTATGTTCTATTTAAAAAAAAAGTAAATTATTCGTGATTTTGCTTTATTACCCTCCAACTATCCTATAGCTAAATCAATTTTATAAAAACTTCCTTGCTTATCTAGTTTTTATTACCTGTTAATGAAGTTGAGGTTTATTAGAGAAAAACGTGAGATTCACTTCATGTTATGTAAAAAAATCTAGTGCGCGCAACACACAACTTTCACTTACCGATCTAGATAGATAGATAGTTTATTGGCTATTATGTACATCATTTAGCCATGGAGTTTGGCCCATTTGCTGTTTGTAGTTGTTAGTATTGAAAGGCAATGAAATCATAAACAAAGCATAAATAAATAAAGATATAAATATGTATACATATGTAAATTTCTATTGCTTATTATAACCTCGCAATATAAAATAATACAACGAATTGAAAAATAAAAAACAAAAAAAATAAAAAATAAATTATATATATATATTTCCCAATTAGCAATTAGTAAATAGAATAAATAAACAAATAGATAATTATTTATAAAACCCAAAACAATATAAAAAAGTGTATATCTGGAAATTAATTAATGATTCAATAATATATCGAATTAGACCTTTTTTCTTTTCTTCCTTTTCCCTCTCTCCCTCTCCTCCTCTCCCTTTCATTCCCAATACTACATCAATAGAACTTATTTTCCTATTTTCCTAAAATAATATAATATAGTCCTTACTCTAAATACCTATATATAGTTTTTAACAAAAAGAAATAGATGTTATTTAGTTGGTCCGCACTATCAATATTTAGAAGATTTTCTAAAGATAAATGTTTATTGTTTTGGACAATAAAATCTCGTGGTATTTTTCCCTATCAATACTTAGTCTGGGGCATTGCAATAGCAGGTGTTGTATGTTTTGGGGGATATGTTCTTGACATTATCCACATTTCTCTCCGATCTACTATGAATAGGAATTATTTTCTGGCAATGCTGGGCTATTATAATTTTTTTTTAAGTGCATCTTAAACGGAGCTAAAGCTTAAAGCTTCCAGATAACAAGTCATTAAGACCATTATGATTACAAAATGTCTATTTAATATATCGACGACAGTCAATAAAAATCTAGTCACCCCATCTGCTTTTATAAACCACACAACTTTCTTTGCTTTTATAAACTTCAGAATGATTAACTCCAATTTCAATATTTTTAAGTGATGTCATTTTAGTGATATTTTTAGTTGAAAAAGTTATATATGCAGAATATGAGTAAGTTGATTCCGGAGGTGGTGATTGCAGTGTTGAAATACAGAACTGAGAATAAAGGTATAAATCTAGGTACTTATTTCTTATGAAAAATGTTGTTAGGAAAGATACTTTATTAAATATCTGTAGAAAAAAGGTTTTTTAAGTCTCAACAATTAAAAAAGTTTATATTAAGTTTGTCCAAATTTTCTCCTCTTCAGTTAAAAAGATTTGAGACTATACTTCCAAGTTGTGCGATCTTAACGTATTTTTTTTTTTTTTACTAAATTCCGTAAACTTTTAAAAAACCATATAATATCCCCAAAAAAGTGAATACTTTTTGAGTTATTCGGAATTTAATTTTACCATCCCTTGTAACTTTTTTTCCAGCTTCTTTTCGTTGAAGTATGTTATTTAGATAAATTTAAAGGGTGTCGAGAAAATGACTTTAGCGAGGTTTCATTGAAATCGGTACATTCGTTTAGGCACTACAGTCTTGCTATAGACGCAGGTTTTTCAGCATTTTTTTCTCCTTTGTTAACTTATGAAATTCCTTCAAAAGTTATATTTAGCATTTTTTCATTATTTTAAATAATGTGAAAAGATTAACTTTTTAAAATAAAGCATATTAAAGGTACTTTAGAGGAAGACGTATATGAACATTGGGCATTTAAGCCCTGTAAAGTGACATCAATGGAGATAAGACCTAATTGATATTAAAGACCACTTAATTATACAATGATACACCGAGTTTAATCAAAATCGTTAAAGCCGTTTTTGAGAAAATTGTGAAAACTTGTTTTAGCGTTGATATAAAGTGGCACTTCCAGTTAGCCGATTTTAAGAAAAAAGTTGCCGTCACATATAAGGCATATACCTATCTAAAATAAGTAATATCAGTTTCGTAGGACTTTTCGTTTTTCGGCTGGACTGCTAACATACAAACATACAGACCATTTTTCGGGACTTGGTCGTTTCGACTCAGGGTACCTCAAAACGTCTATTTCCGTTGAAAACTCAGATTCAAAAATTTTCTCGATCGTAATACTTACCCTTACTATATATTACATATATACGTAAGTGAAAGTAAAAATTGTGTACTTTCATGTCCTGTCATCTAAAAGTACCCGTTTTTTAAGCAAAAATGAATACAAAAACTATCGCAAAGGTTTTATTTCTTCTTGTTTTATTACTCTTGGGGTGCTTATAATAAATATACATGCATAAACATTCTTTTCATTTATAAAAAATATTAAACACTATAATGTTTTGCATGTTGTAATTTTAGAAAGCTTATATATATATATATATATATATATATATATATATATATATATATATATAGATAGAGAGAGAGAGAGAGAGAGAGAGAGAAATATAGCGCCACTGAAATATTTGTTTATAAATAAAGAGGAAGATCTTGGTTAAGCTTTGTCAAAAATGAAAGAAAATATTATTTTTTGGCATACGGCTAGACCTCTTACTTTTCAACCTTAATCTCTCAAATCGCAATATTTTTACCAATGAATGAAATAGTTAGTTAGTTAATGATTTTTTTATGAGAATATTTAAATGTCATAATACTCACTTTGGCTTGGAAGGTTCGTCTGATTCGGTTGACGAGTCTCCGGTCTCTAACGGCGTGGAAGGAACCTCTATAGGTTGCGGTATCTTGATATTGAACTCTGGCCTCATAAGGTCCCGAATGGTTTCGAAAGCATTTGGTCTCCAATTGGTATGTTTCCGGGTTACGATTCGGGAGGTTCGTGTGATGTACATATCCATCATCTCGTCCCAAGTATAGTCGACCGTGTCCCTCTCTCCGGTTTCCTTGATAATTATGTCCCTGATTGCTTTAACTTCCAAGTCGTTTAGAAGAGTCTTTATGTCTTCGTAAACGAGATTTTGATCATCTTTTTCTTCGAGGAGCTTTCCCAGCTCTTCCTTTTTTTCTTCTTCCTCATCACGTATTTGAACGTCAGTTATCTATTAAACATGAGGTACATTCTTCTATTTATATTTATATTAATAGATTAATTATTAAAAGATCAATAATCTCTAAAATAAGGTAAATAAATGTGATCTAAAATTTGGTTAGCTCAGATCAAGTTGATGAATAATAAAGACTATTACATTTCCTTTTGAACACATCGATTTGGATACGAGATATATAAATTTTTTACGAAGAAAAAAATAATTTATTTTTCTAGTAATTTAATGTTCTTCAGTTCCTTTTATTACTTTTTATTATTGATCCCATGTTCAGTTACATGAAAAGCTGCCGTAATAATTAGAACAATATTAAAAATTCAGGTATCATTTCATTTATTCTTAACAATCACTTGTATGTCTTGGAACAATGTGCTGTATATGAGAGATGGGGTAAAATATAACGTAAATAATGAATTACTAATTTTATGACGATTGATTTTGTGGCTGTTATAAGGCCGACCGGTCATCGAAAGAGCAGCGGAGTTGAGCTGAATGTACCTGAGTCAGCTTTCAAAACCGAACCAACAATTTTTAATGAGTGGCAGGCCACCAGGGGAGGAACTGAGCAGTGTGCAGTTGAGCGGCGTAACAAGGATCAGCTGTACTCAGCTTTGGGTCGACCGGGGTTCGGTTTTGAAATCTGACTCCGCTATACCCAGCTTCACCCAGCTTCATCCAACACACCTACTCATCACTGCCTCACAACCGTGTGGCTTTGTGAGTAGGTGAGTAGCTTTCCTCAGTGTCATCCTTTTTCCCCGCTTGTTTTCACTGCACAACCTCTCAAATTATTGAATTTTGTTCAGTATAAAACATGTAATGGATTTGTAATCATTCTTAATCGAATATATAAAGTAAAATATTCGGTGTTTTACAAAAATATTCAATTTTTCTTTTCAGCTCCGACATGATCAACTTTGTTATACTTTAAAAAAATGTTATGCCCTTTTTTTCACGGCACAACCTCTCAAAATATTTAATTTGGCTCAGTGTAAATTATGCCATGGATAGGGAAGAAGTCTTAATAGAATGTGTAAGTGAAAATACTCGGTTTTATACACAAATATTCGATTTTTCTTTTCACCTCGAAAGGATCAAGTTGGCTGTTTTTTAAAAAATATTTTATATGCTATATATACCATTTTTAAAATGTTATAATGTTAGTATTAAAATGTTACGGACTATGAGAAGGGTACCGGTGCAAGGCAAGTTGCTCTTACTGCGCACAGCTCAACTGCGCTTTCGGTGGCAGGTCAGCCTAAAACTGGATAGATTGAAAAATTCGAAAGGAGGCCTAAAGACATAAAAACTTAAACCAAAAAGTTGGGACTCAGTTGAGAATAAACGAGAAAATGATCCAGTGGAGAATTATTATTTAGGCTCAGGTTGGATCACAGCGTTGATAGGAAAAGAGAGAGGTGGTTTTCAGCTCGCCTAAGAGTCCGAATTCTAAAATAATATTTCAACTGTTCATTGCCCATGTTGATTTCGGTTCATTGCCGCTGGTAGGTCGGCTGTATTCCACATGTTAACAATACCTATGCGAAGTAGACGGAACAGCTACTCAGAAGCTCTAGGCAAAGTTTAAATGATGATAGCTATTTTTTCCCCATTTGATTATATAGCGTGTTTCAGGGTTAAGTGACCAAACTGAAAATATGAATTATATACCTTAAAACAAGAAAACAAAAATCCTGTGAAGGTATGTCCGTAAAGGTTTTATAAAATAAAATGGGTTTTATTTATTTCATATAACGTAAATAATTCCTAATAACGAAATTCTTAAGGTGTGAATATCTCCTAAACAAAGCGTTTGCGGACATACCTTCAGAGGAAATTTTTTTTTGTTTTGAGATTCCTAGCTCATTTTTGCAATTTGGCCACTAAAGCCTGAAACACCCTGTATATAAATAATTCAGGTATCATGTAAAATACCCCATCCTAAATTCCCATATTACCTTACTCTTCTTTAGTACACTGAGGATTGCAGCCATATCTCTCCTTTTATTATTTATCACACTTTTAAGGAGTTTCAGAGAATTCTGCGCCACTATAAGGAGTAAGATAATTATTGTCATCTATTTTAGGTATGACCCATGACTGAAATAAAGAAATTATGGCGCCTATACTTTTTCTTTGTACCTATATAGTATTGATAGAGCACATATTTTAAGGATCTATCCTCGATATTCTGAACTGTCCGATTGAAAGGGGACAAACAAGCGCTGAATTCTTCCTGAAGCATTCTCCTAAAGCCTCTTAACAACTCCATAAATTATATCAATAAAGTAGTTGTGTAGTTAGAATGTTCCTATGATTCGTTGGATATTATTAATATCTGAACTTCTGTATTGCAACCAGTGGCTTAAATAAAACCTCCTACTCCAGTCTTGTTCAATGCACCCACTCATTTCGGCTACTTCTCACCCACTCAAACTCATGTTTCAACTATAACATCTCAATAGTCATGTTACCTACATTATAAAAGTACCAATGGGTTCAGGAATATCTTTAGTGAAAACGGAGATTTTTATTCGATTATAATGTATTATCATATGACCATTTATTTCCAATGTTAATAAACTGACTGTTTCAGCCCTCGCCTTGTTCTTTGTAAAGTCTTCCACCACCTTACTTAATTTAAGAACAAAGGCTTTTATTTTCTATGAATCTTTTTTGCCCTCAGGTTTTCCGTTTTTAAACACCAAATTTATGCACTCAGTGTACATCCCACAAGATTTTTTTTCATTTACCTAGAGAACAGTTTATGAATTAAACTCGAGCATAGCTATGTTATCAGTGATTTTCTATTACAGAAACTTGGTTCATATCCCCAAGCTTCTTTTCTCCATAACGTTTAGGTGATTGTTACATTTGTGATTCCAAATAGATGTATTACTTTTTTAGTAAGATGATATATGAAATAATTTTCTTTCTTATATTATGACCAAGCCACATGGCTGGATTTTTGTGAATTGAAACATCAAGACTTTGTTTTTATTTGTGAATCATTTTCATAATGATTAGTTGTATTACACAATTTGACATTTAATAAAATTATTTTCAAAACATGATTCTAATGCTTGATGACGTATCTATTGCTGACGCAATTCAATCTGTAGTCGGAACTTTCTTTTCTAATCCCGGATAAAAAAAGTAAAATTAACTAGTACCTAATATAAAAAAAAACTTCTTTCAGTTGAATACTAACAATGTTTGGTTACTTTCCTGTTAGAAGTAACCATAATACTATGGAGGTAAGATGATGATTGAAACCGTGCTGGAATGAAATCTATTTGATGGATGTTTCCATAAAAGAACTTGCGACCAATTATTAGCCTACTTGTTACATCAAAGTAGGATATTCTTGATTGTTATTGGTGTCAAGAAATATAAGTCCATACTATATTTTTTGTTGAGGGACTCTTTATCCTTTTAGGCATTGAAGTCTCCGATATAAATTTATTTTACATACAGGTAACATAGGATTCTTAAATGACTGATTACAGAAACCGTTGGACAAGATGGTCTGAGGCAGTTACTCCACGCTTAGCAGCACACAGAAGATAGTGAGAGAAGAGAAAACTCATTGATCATTTTGTTTTTTCATGGCCTTATTTTTTCTTCATTTTCCTATTCTTTTTTTGACTTTCAATGTAGCGAAACACCTCCAACAGCTATTGTTATTACGTATGGTTGTTTCCTTGATTTAGGATTTTGAAGAACATATTATTCGACTCCTTCAAATTTAATCTAAGGGATGAATTATCCTCTTAGAGCAAGTACACTCGATCATCCGGAGTTACTTTTTGCATTCCGATGACCATTATTCTAAAATGTGAGTGCTGAGAGGACAAGCATGATTTTTAATTTTTTAATGAAAATACATCCGACTTATAAATCAGTGCTCTATGCACTATGTACCCCTAGTCTAATCCAAACATTTTACCCCGATCGTAAGTAGCTATTTCCTCAAATAGATGGGATAATTATATCATAATTGGCCAAAATCCGAGGATTCAGAATAATTTTGAAATTTATTTGAACGAGAGTGTTTTAAAAACGAATCATAATGAAGTATATGCGGCAATAGGGATCTTATAGGCTATATGTGGTTACATATTATAGATGTGTATGTATATCTTTAATTTTTTGTTATGGAAAAGTAAAAAAAAAAAATTGCAGATATTATTTTTTACAATTTTAGTTAAGTGTTAGAAATGTTTCATAATGTATATTGAAATCTACCTCCAGAATTTACAATTCTGAGTTTCTGTTTCAAAACCTCAATGAAAAGGACTCAGCGCGGACAACATTATGGCTTTTGTTTTCTAATATCCAGATTGTATTTGTGTTCTAATATTTTATAAAATTATATAACCTATTTGCTCATAACTCATTTGCCAGTGAGGAAACCGACTAGAGCTCGTGGAAATCATTTCATATGGGCAATAATTCCTTTTTTCTCAAACAATTGAATGCCTTACATTTTATTTTAATTCTATTTCCAAAAACTAAATAAAGAAACGAAGCGTCTATACTCACAATTTGGCTTGAATCTGAGTCGTATTCAATACTTGGTCTATTCATTTTAAAGGCATCCAACTAAACGGAATCAGTATGAATTAAGTAAAACCAAAAAATAAAAATAATATTTAAATAAATTACATCATATGTTAATAGATCGTGGTATCATTCGTGCCAACAATCAATTGAAGTCACGAGACCAGTTACTCAGAATAAGAATTTATTTTATTTGAATCTAAAAATACTGACCTAAGGGTCCCACATATTACATTCATATTGCGTTCGCTCACTGTCGTGTTTTCAGAGACTGGTGTATAACAGTGATGATAAAACAATGGAGCTATTCATGATAAATAATATTCATATGTATAAACAAGTTTTGCATTACCTCTTCATTCTATAGCAGTGAGACACAGCAATGGTGGCTTTTGATGTCAGCAGCACAGTATTAAGGGAAAGTAAACATAGATGAGTTTCAGGATTATCATAACATAAAAATAATTTGTAAGATAATTCCTAATTATCAGCCAAGTTAGAATCTACCTTCAGTTCAGGTTTAGTGTTCTCAAGGCGAGCTTGTGCATTTCTCAGCTTTGTCATAATGAGTAAAAAATGTTTTATCTTCAGGAGAATTCGATTGAATCATTGCTTTGGGACAGGAAGGTTTCAATTCAAATCGCAAATTTTTCAACGTTTAAATTTAAGAGAAACGGAGTGGTAAGCTGTCCTGAATAGAGTTTTAATTCATAGGACAATAATTACATTAGAAGACACATCTGGTAGAGGTAGAACAAGTAAAACCAGTCAGAATGAAAACCGTTTTATCATCCAAAATGTTAAAAGATAATAATCAACAATCGGAGGTATTACGGGGGTAGAACGAGTAAAATAGTGAGTGACTAAACTGTTCAAAGAGCTAAAGTCTAGAAGATCTCCACTATAGAGGTGGAGTGGCGGAGAGGGCTAAGATGTGTTATGTGTAAAATAGCATTGATAAACCAAAGATAACGAGTTACAATCACGGTGTCGAGGGACTACTAATCCCGGTATTAATCCATCGTCTAAAAAAAATGTCTAGAAGACCTACGTTGCCCAATATAAATAGAGCTCTAATACAACTGCGCATTCAGGATACAAGATTGGTTATTGTCTCAATAAACATAGCTGCGATAAGGCGAAGATGAGACACCAAACATCCTCACAGCAACTCCCAGAACCCCTACCGCAAATTATGTAGAAAAGTTATGATATTTAGACTCATGACTAACCACAAAAGGCTAAGTGCACACGTTCATAGGCGCAGTATTGGTAGAGGCAGCGAGAGAGTCGTTCGCGCCTCCCTTAATAAAAAAAGAGAGAGGGCGAGAATATCGCTTAGCTCTTCCCCAATATTTTGATGAACAAAAGTAAAATACATAATAATTAATCTATATGAATTAATAAAATATGTATACCAAAATAAATTAAGAAAGTATGAAATGTCGATAAGGGCTAGAGGTAGAGATGTAGGTGTTTTACCACGCCCTATGTTTTTATTATTAAAATTTTAGTTTATATTCAAAGACAATAGATATGTAGTTTTTTCTTGTCTTATGCCATGATCGAATTATGTCGGCAATGCGATCTCTAGTATCCGAGTAAAATGTAGATATGTAGTAACATGTCCTAATAATTTATGATTCATTCATGTGCACTATTTTATTTTTATGTGAAGATTTTATTACGTATACCTTGGCAAATTGGAAGCATCAAAAAATCGGAAATTCATCTCACTACCTGAAACCTTTAAGTGAAAATAAAAATATTTATTATACTCAATTGATTTTTTAGCATATTTTCAAATGTACGAAAAAAACAACATTGTATTATATTGTTCGTTTTATAATAACTACTGTTCGCCGAGTGGACAAAAATTAACGTTCAAATATTGAATGTTTGAGGAAAACACAAAGAAATTTGCATGTCTCCTAAATTTGTTTGCTACTCTTATACATTCGTATATTCACTTTTATATGTACTTACAAAAGAAAACAGTGCAGAACCATTTGTTTATTTTTGGAGTTATAGTCAAATAAAAATGTAAAACCATCATTTAAGTTGCGAAAAACCAATCTCAATTTTGTTTCGCCTTCAACAAATATTGAAATAAATCCTTCGGTCGGTAAAAATCGTTTTATTTAGATATTGTGCTTATATTAAAGTTATATTTTAAACATAAATTAGTCAAAAAAAAGCTCTGCTAAAAATGTAAACCCAAGAAAATGTAAAAAAAAAATGCAACAAAACATCTTATCGGACATGGTTCCTTTTCAATTTCATTCATTTTTTTCTTCATTAAGTAGATAATTTATGAATCTATCAAGGAATATATCTTAAGTTAAGAACGCTATATCTCTACATCAAATCAATGGGAAGAAAAATTCATCGTTTTATTTTTTCTTATCTGAAGTTTTAATATGCTTACGGTGGTCTGGTTTGTTGCATTTTGTCCAGGAAAAGTGGCTCTAAATTCCTTTTTATTTTAGTGTGTACAGATCAAGTTATTATCGTGCAGTTATCAAATTTTTTATGATTTTCGAAATAAAATCGAAACCTCCTTCCTTGATACAAATTTCATGCAAAAAAAAAATGAAATTGATTTATCGATTCAAACGTAAATTAGTATTTGAGGGTTTGATAATGTTTGCCCGCACCAGTAGTCATCATCACCCAAGAGTACCTTCCTGGCAGGTATCGATAGAATGGAGTGGCTACCTTTCTCTCCGTGCATGAACCCCATTGAATATGACTGGGATAGGATTCATAGAGCTGTTCAATGTGTCTACCACTTTCCAGGAAATGAGGGAAGTTGCTGTGGAAAAATGGAGAAACCTGGATCAAGATACCATTAACTATTTAATTAAAGGCATTCCAAGACGTGTGTGGCCTTTAATGCGTTTAATGCGTGGCAAAGCATATCAATAATGGCTACTAAAATTAATAACTTTTTTTTAACTTTAATTTTTTTATTCACACCTGCCAAAATGGTAATGACAACCACTGAATGTGAAATCTATTTCTAAATATAATGTAATGATAAGCATGAGGAGGAGCAGTGCCCAGCGGCACCTCACTCGGCGTGATATCTACATAAGGCGAGGAGGTCTCTCATCCAGCTCCTCTTCAGTCTCCTACAGACGTTACGTGGCATATCCGTAAGTTGTCGTGGAATCTTTTGTAATGAGTTCGTAAGTGTTCGTTAACAGTTGGCATATGGAGGTCAGTATGTAAGGTTATGTTGCTAACGTACCAATGTGCTTTTGTAATTGTCCTGAATGTTTTTACTTGGAAGATTTGAAGTTTATGTGAGTCTTTTTAGCTGTTCCAAATATCTGTGATGCGTAAGTCCAAATAGGTTTGAGTAATTAATTTTATGTGTTCAATTTCTGTCTGAGTGTTAGTTTTGAATGTTTCGAAAGTGAATTCGGAATTCTTAACCTTTGATTTAGCGTTTTTCGTTTTTTAATTATATGTGGGCCCCACGTTATTTTTCGGTCAAATGTCAGACCAAGGTAGTGAACGGTGTCTGTCTTTAGAATCTGTGTATTGTCAAAGACAACTGGAGGATATCTTTCATGTCGAAGGGTAAATGTGATATGCAGTGATTTGTCTTGATTTAGTCGGATTTTCAAATTTTAAATCAGTTATCTAATCTTGCTAAATACTGTTGTAGGGTCTGTGAGGCGTACGTTGGATTTTCGTGTCTTGCTAAAGTTGCTGTGTCGTCTGCATATGTCGCTTTTAAAGTGTTGGAACTACAAGTTATGTCATGGGTGTATGTGTTATAGAGTAGTGGGACGAGTACTGAACCTTGGGGTACTCCTGCTGAGATAGACCTGATGGAAGATAGTTCTGACCCGTGTTCGACGAGAAAATCTATGGAAGATATTATAATTAATATATGTAGTATATGTCTATATATAAATATATATATATTATATATATATATATATATATATATATATATATATATATATATATACACACACAATATTTAAGTTTAAATTTATAAAATTTAAAGAGATAATTTTATCTCCATTTCCTGATTTTTAAAATAAAGTAGCCATTTTTGTAAAATAGAAAAAAGAATTTCTTTATTAAAGCAATATTTTTAAGTGTAAGATTATTAGATTGTACTTTATGCACATTAATGAATTATTACCGAACCTACCTTTTTGAATTTTGCAAAACGGTTTTGGTTTGTGTAATAGGGTTCATCAGAGCAATAAAGAAACTATTGGATTGTAAAAAATCAGACCTTACAAGGTAAAATCATCTACGAACTTAAAATCTTTTTTTTTTTTTTTAACTTTTATTATGATATTTACAACTGTATTATTATGAATACATCAAGTAAATGTGTACAGAGGAATATTATCACATGAAACGCGCTTGTTGAGAAACTACCCATTGGTAGCACTAAAATCTTAAGAACAACTACAAGTGAGTAAAAGAAACTTGAGGAACTACCAGGAATACAACCTGGTATAAAGAAGGAAATTATTGGTGTGATAGGGACGGCTGAAAGGTATTTTCGAAGTGTGTATTGACTAATAGCTCGATCTGAAATTCTAGTCGTTACACAAATTAAGGTCTACAACTTAGACCGAAACTTCGACACGTATTTTAAAATTGTTTACTTTTACTGTGTTTTTTATTCTGTAATCAACTTCTGTTTAATGTACAGATGTAATTATTTAGTAGCATGTGAAATAAGCGAAAACATGTTTGTTTTCAAACAAAGTGGAGTAAGGAAATATCTAATATCGAAATATTAAAAGGAATGAAAAGAAAATTCTGTTATTTTGTTGGTCAGAAGTTTTCCAGGGTTTGTGACGAAAGTGTATTTTATATTAATGTTTTTTATTTGTAAGTGTATATTAATGTTTTCGATCATATTAAAAAATAAAAAAAATACTCTTTATTACAAAGACATATCATACATGTAACATAAACTACATAATAATAATGTAAACTACTGTTAGTGCAAAATCTCGTATGTAAATATTGAGTTGTTTTTTATA